CTGCTTCCATTACCCTCACTCTCTTTGCCGAACTGAGTTTAGAATCGTTCAAACATACAACCTTTGACAGGAAACTGCAGAATTTTGACTATTCAGAGTTGAAAGTTGTCATGAACATTTTAAAATTAAGGGGGCGGGACTCAAACATTTAAATTCAATGTATTCTTGTATAGCCCTAAATCACAACAGAAGTTATCTCGCAGGATACATAATGTAAGTGACAGGAAGTCACAGACTAGGAAATTGCTTTGGCTCAGTGCAACAGTCAGAAAAGAGAGGTAGAAATAGAGAATAGAGTAAGGCATAACAAAAATCAGCATACACTTCAAAGGTATAACATTTAAAATAGAATTACTACGATAACAATTACTATATACAATATGCAAGTGCACATGGTGCACACAACATGCGGTAAGCAGAGCAATAAGCTGACAGCAGTAAAGTGACGTTATGATGGGCAGTAAAGTGACTTAATAAGGGACATTAAGGTGACTTTATAAGAGGCCGTGAGATGACTTATAAAGGGCGGGGGGACAGGTTGTGAGTGTTCAAGAGTCCAACAGCAGAGGGGATAAACTGTTCTTATGGCGGGAGGTTTTGGTCCTGATGGACCGCAGATGTCAGAGCCATGGGTCTGTAGTCATTAAGGCCAGTGATCCCGGCCTTCTTATGGTGCTTTCAGACCGGATCATGCTGCGTCTGCTTTCAAAGTCTATGGTGACAAGCGTTCGAGCGTCACAACGCACGGACCTCTCGGCACGCACTGACGGACTGTTCAGTAGAGACGCACAGACTTGGCGGGAAAGTCAAAGGGGAGGAGCAGGAGCGAAAAATGTACGCCCACAGGAGATGGATTCTGCTCATCCTTTCCTTGGGACGTTCGTGCGACAACCAATCAGAGAGCAGCAAAGTGGTCACGGGGACATTAGCGGACTGAGCGAGCAGACTGAAAATACTCGTAAACAGCCAAAACAGGACCCACACCAGGCTTCACCAGAACTCAAACCAGGGCTGACAATGGGGGACTCTGTGCTTGTGAATATATGCGTTGTCATGCTCCCGTGACCTTATGCAACTGCTTCGAGTGTGTTCGCCGATGCGGAAATACCGTTTATTAATATGAATAAACATATGGCGCACCTCCGTGAGCACATAATGGAGCTTTCGCGAAAGTTCACCGTGGTAGACCCGGCTGTTGCTGCCAGGCCACAGGCTGCTCTTCCTCGACTCATCAATACCAGCAACGCCCACACCCAGTCAACCAATAACCACCAGGACAGCAAGTTAAAAGCCGGAGACGCCCACTTCCCGATCTTCTGAAGTCTGCAAACTTCTGAAGCCTGCAAGGTGCATGTCGCTAACGCACCTGTTCGCAAATGCATGCGTTGTTCTGGAGGGGTCGCTTCTGCTCACGTGTTGCTCGTGCGCGTGGCCCGGCTGTCCTCAGTCTGGCTGCTCATGGTCTGCTCCTCCTCCACGTCCCTGCACCTGCTGTGGTTCGCATATCCCCACTGCTCTCCTCCTCTGCGGGCTCTTCTGCGGGCTGCTCCGCGGGGCCCCTCCGCGGTTCTGTGCTGCTCGTTCCTCGTGGTCTGCTGCCGCGCGCAGACGGTCTGGCGGTGCCGTGCGTGTCCCTGCCTCCGATTGGCGGTGCCGCGTCGTCCCGTTGCTTTCCCAAGTCTCCTGGCATGTGAGTACAGTCAGTGTGCCGACCGCGGACAGTTTAATCCCGGAGTCTAGGCTGCAGGCGGCTGGTTTTTGCCCTACACACTTGACTGCAGGCGTCAGTCTTCGCCCGTGCTTGGTCTGCAGGCTCCGTTTTACACGTGTTGAGCTAACTGAGGGACAATGCATCTTAAATGGCATCAATCTCCAATGTCTGAGGGATATAAGAGGAGCAATGTGCATTAATTCAGATTCATGTTCTGCCACTTGCAGTAAAACCACGTTGGAAAAAATGTGCAAAGACTACCCCATCGTGCTCCAGACGGCACACACAGAGCTCTTGCATGGCGCCATCTTTACAGCATCAATCTCATTACTCGCAAGTCACTATTGTTAAATGATGTATTTAAATTCGTCTATCTGCAGGAGGAAGGAGGGGCCATGCATTTAAATGGCTAGGTCACTAGTATTAAATTGGGTAACTAAACTGCAGTTGTTGCATTTCGAAAGTGCAGCAGAAAGAAAAGGGGCCCAATGTGAATATGCAATGGGTTTGAAGTGGAGCTGGAGCTAATGAACGCATGGATCAGTGATCGTTCATGCGTTCTACCATAACCAAAGCAGCAAGATGGCTCCAGGGGACATCTGTTTCTCGCATGGGAATGTTTCGGATTCGGGTTGATTTATTTCCTCAGGCTCTTAAACAACCGTGGGCATGGTTCTCTGACCGCCGCTGCTGCGGTCCCTGCTGCCGTTCCTACTGATGCCTGATCCCGCTGCTGCCTATTCCTGCTGCTGCCTGTCCCTGCTGCCTGCTCCTGCTGCTCCTACTACT